CTTACAGATGTTGTTGTTATGGTGTAAATAATATATTCCCCAAAGGTCTTCAGTAAATTAAAAATGACCCTGTATATTACTTATCTACCTAAACAGGGAATGTATAACGCGAAGTTATATATTAACTTAATACTTCGCGTGCGTGCGTGCGTGCGTACGTGCATGCGTGCGTGCGTGCGTGCGTGCATGTGTGCGTGCGTGCGCGCGCGCGCGCCTGTGTGTGTATGTGTGTGTGTGTGTGTGTGTGTGTGTGTATGTGTGTGTGTGTGTGTGTAGATATATAACCATTTGAACTTACAATAAGCCAGTGATTTTAATATTACATACAGATAGACTCTTTTATTTATATCTAAATATGTATATATACATTATCTACTACTGTTCCAGTATAAGTGAATGAGGTCTGTAAAATTGTTTCTTGAATACTGAATTGACATTCTATAGTAAGTCATAATGATGGCGTGACGAAAGAAGCTAGGACTGTGCGAGCTATTTGTTTATAAGTTGCATTGAGTAGTATTGTTGGTAGGTACATAGTTCCATTATTTATTACTAACAATCTGACATAATGATTTCTTACGTTCACGCGAACACTACACATTTAAATAAAACTAGTTTTTACGGATTTTCAATAGACATCACACCCTATTTTCAATAGAGAAAATGGTTGATTGCTACCATCTACTTGGGATCCTATAATTAATGAAATTAAATCCCAACCCTAACATAAAACTGCACGACTTCAATGTTCACACTGCCAAATACCTACTTTATAAAACCTTACGGCTTGATACGTGCAGCTTTCGACAGTTTCCACACATTGGAAAGGCAACTGTCAAAATAGCGTCATCTAGTGGCATGAGTTGATGAAAAAGTTATAAACTGCGAAACTCGTTTGTACGTAGTTTTTCAACAAAATTTGAAAATAATTTTGTACAATTTTACCCTGTACAAGAAACAAAACGTAGTTAATAGTTTCTGTAGATTTTTTGGAGGTTTTAAAATAAAACTAAATACATTAGGAATGTGAAATTTTCTTTAATTTCAAGTTTCTAGACTTCAATCTACTTGGGTTCAGGTGTAACTTTAGGTGGTGTTTTATAGTAAATAAATTTTCTATACAATTTTGTGTAAGCCTACGAGTGAATAAGAATTTAAAGTCGTAATTAATTTTTTAAATCTTGCCACAACATTTTAATGCCTCTATATTAATTAGCCATCAATTTATACACAATGGAATCAACTTCTCTTCTTTTATTTAAAACTCTTAATTCTTTCAAAAAGTTACTTAATTCATTTAATTTATTTATATGAGTAGAATCTCTATTTTTTGGATGTTTTCGCTGCTAGTCTATGCGACTCTTACAGCTTCATCTGACTCAGGGCCTTGCAGGCCGCGAGCTAATTAAATGAGTAGAATTGATGGATAGGACGTCTGATTTTTTTATATTCTTTATACTTAGAAGAATTAAATATGTCGAAAAGAATATCTTTTTTATCTATGAAATCAGCTGTAAATGTGGCATTTACTGGTAAATTATTTAGTGTTATGTTACAAAGAATCCCGACACTTACAGAATGACTAAATACCCTACTTGCTAGACAAACTCTCATTGTGCTAAAGGAGGAAGGGTGATACACTTTTTATTTAACTTGGGTGTCATTCTAGGTAGTTGTTGGGAATCAATGTTATAGAAGTTTACCACATGTGATCATAAAGCTGTTGAACTTTTAAGTTGAAAGTCAAAGTTCTTAAAATTATTTCAATTAACAGATGAGGTGAATCATACAAAAAAGTAAATTCTATGGCCTTTGAATTAAATATATTGAAACTGAGAGAAGTTTACTCAATTTGACATTATTTGAACCCATGTCACAAATAATAGCTTTGATAATATAACCAGTATTAAAAAAATCTCTATTATGTCTAAGAATAATTTGTACAGAATATCTGCAGGCAAAGCATATTTACTTAAATAATAACCTACTACTTGCTTAAAATCAATGTAGATACCCTTAATCATAAATACCATAGCTTGATTACATAATTGGAGGTTTCAAGATTCTGATCTCCAAAATCTTGAAACCCTTCAAAGACATCCCTTCGTGCATCGTAATTTAAATTTTCTTTTAAAGACATTTCATCAAAAACTAAAGATATGATTCGTTCTTTTAGAGTTATTCTCTCTGCTTTAAGTTTTAATAATTCTAAAACTGTGTTGTTTAAACCACAGTTTACCTACAAATTATTTAATCAACTACGAAGTGGAGGTAAACTGGGTAAACAAAAATATTTTTGTAATAATATGTATGATTTAGTCAAACAGTATAAAAAGCCAATGCAAACTCTTTATCAGCTATGTCATATCGTCTTCCTAATTTGTGTCTGCTGCTTAATTTTTGCTGACTCTCAATGAACTGCTTACAAATTCTATTCATCGTATTTGGTTGGGTAGTCGATTCCTTATTTTTACTTACAGCTAGAGATTCCATTAAGCTTTTACATTTTTTTCTTATATTTTGATAGTAAACTAGAGGTTTATAATTATCTATAACAAGATAAGGTAAACGCACCAGTCATGGTCACTTTAAGATATTTTAATTTTATTTTTCGACCTTTTGTTATTTAATTAAAACAAGATCTGATTCAAAACTATTGGTATTGATAAAAGTAGGATTTCCGTACATACGTAAGCTTATAAATTGGTATCGTCTTTAATAGAAAAGTCAAAAAGTAATTTTAAAAAGTTGTTGTTGACAGAGCCAATGATGGTCGGCCGAAAACCCAATGTTGACCCACCATTTATGGTTTGCTCCTATTATGGCCAGCACCAATAATGGTCACTAAGCTTATTATTACGCTTTTATTCATAATAAAAGAAACTAAAAAAATATGTTTTATATTTATAATTCTGAACTTAGAATCTTACAATATTCTTAAAATCATATTAAAATCAAAATGAGATCAAAATGAGACAACGTTGTTAAAAGTAAATAACATTTCTTCCTAGGCTAGATTTCAGTCTCGTTATTAAGTGTTGAATCATAAGATGTAATAGTAAGAAGGTGTATCTTAAAACCTTAAAATTATAAAAACAACAAAATGGATATTTTTTAACCTTTCTTATCATTTCCTTCCTTCATTTATTATAATTAGCCGATATTTTATAAATCAGTAAATAGGTAACTAAGTATTTTAAAACAGGTACAACTTTTACAAAACTACTACAAGATTAACAAGCTTTAATTTTAAGAAAATAGAACATTAAATTTATACTTTAAGGCACCGTAACTGAATTTTAGTATGTTTAAATATTTATACATTATCCATTTCTGGAATAATAAAACAGCCTTTTTTTTGCAAACTTAGGAATTGCTATTTGGCATACAATAGTTACTATCCCAACTATACAGTTGTAAGTCTTTTATCACAGGCCAGCGTCAAAATTCTTTGGATTTTTTTAAGGCAAGATACTAGCGCCCCTTCTTCAGTCACAGAAACAATTTGTCCTGGGTATTTCCTTTCATTCCAAATAACTATTACATAATCGTTAGCAGAAACGTTGCAAGAAACGGAAGTATTAATTCCACAACGCAACTTTTCATTTAAATTTTCATCTGATGTAACAGAAAAGTTATAAGGCAACTGCTCTACTATAACTTTAGGTGATACTATATCTTCATCTGACGTTTTTGCATCAGCTTGTTCTAAGGACAGCGGAAGTGAAATCGAGTCGCCTTGAATGTCTGATTGCCTTTGATTGTTATTGCCATTTTCATTCATAGTGTTTTTTAGCTTCAAGTCCATAAGTGTTAGATCTTCATCAGATTCATCTGGTGTGTCTATTTCACTTCCTCCTGTCTCCGCATATGTCACATCACTTACAACATCCGATTCACTGGAAGTGATAGAGACATGTCTGCGTTTCTTCATGTTTTCTTTACCTCTACTCGTATTCTTTTGTTTTTCAATTATGGCTTTTTCTTTTAACTCTTTCTTCTCTTTACGTAGTTGTTTTCTTTTTGCTTTGATATCTTCCTTTTCTTTTTTTTCTGCATCTTTTTTTGCGTAAAATTCTCTCCATGACTTACTTGTAATAGCTGATGGTATTTTTTCTTTGGATATTTTACGTTTCTTTTGTGTCGGTTCTGGCCAAAATAGAGCCTTCTTAAACGGTGATGGCACCAGAATTCCTTTATTAAGGATGTGATGAGCAAAACTTGCAGTAGATGAAGATGGTATTATCTCGTTTTGATCTACTGCAATAGCAGAAGATGTCAAAGGTGTGACTTTGGTCGGAGTTTTATGCGCAGAAATTAAGTCACTAATAGCGCATTTAGAAAGCAGGTCCTGATTTTGCTTAGTGCCACATTTTTCACTGCCCCTTTCTATCTTACTATTGTTAATAGACCCGAAAACATCTTTATTTTGAAGTGTTTCTGCAGAAGACCTTGCAGATGTCGTAGAATTATCATCGTGGCATTCCACAGGAGGAACAGATATCAGAGGCACGATTTCAGAAGAAGTCGTTTGTTCAGAAATAGTTATCATTCGGGTTGTATTTTGCTCAACACCTGGTCTATCATCAGCTTTTGTATTGCTTTCAGAAACAGTAACTGCACACAAATGTTTATATTTGGCCCAGATAGTGTACATTGTCAAATCTTCAGTCGGCAATACATCAGCTAATTCTGACATAGGTAAGTAAAAACATTTGTTAAAGGTGTCTAGTTTAGACCGTTTAAATATCTTTACGATTTCTGCTTCCGAGTTGGCTTAAAAAAGCTTGGTTTTTTGTAGAATCACAGGCGCTTTTACTTATCGATGCTCTGTTTTGGATGTTTAACTTAGTAAAGTCTACTAGGTCTGGGCCATAAGGAAAAAGTCCTCCCACTCGAAACCCATTTTGTATGCAGTCTGGAGTTATACTTTCTAATGCACGTTTTAGTATTGGCGCAAAGTTTTCTTTTTTCACTTGCTCTCCCAAATTTTCAGTCTTCTATTTTCTTGTTTCCTGTCGCCAAAACAGGTTCAGTGGCCTAAATACGGACACATCCATAGGTTGCAGCAAGTGAGTACTGTTTGGGTATAGAGCGATAACTTCAATTTGTTTCTCTCTGCAGAAATCTGACAAATGTTTAGTCAAATGGGAAGCATGACCATCCAGAAAAAAGATTATGGGGAACTTCGTATTGTTTTGTACCAACCAGGGATATAATATATTGGTTACATATTCGTAGAATGTACTCCCGCACATCCAGCCGTTTTCTGAACGGCCAATGCCCCAATTTTCAGGAATACTTTCGGCAATAGCTCTGGGAATGCGTTCGTAAGAGAACACTATCATTGGTGGTGCTAACTGTCCAGCTGCATTGGCTGTCAAAAGAACTGTAAGGTTTTCTTTTTCATTCCCTGACGTAGAATATATATTTTTTTCTCCTCTTTTAACTAAAACACGGTCAAGTTTGGGATTTAAGAAAAACGCGCTTTCGTCGGTATTAAATATCCGCGTTGGATCCTTCAAAACTTCTGGAAGATTATTTTCTTCTAAATACTTCTCAACGTCTGCAAACCATTTGACCATATGTTCTTGTTTTACAGATTCTCTTGATGTGGTTAAGTTTTGTGAAACTCTCTCAGATATTTCTGGATGTCTTTTTAAAAATAAATCGAACCATTTCCTCCCTGGTCTGTCATTCGTAAATGGATTTTTTCTATTAGCAGATTTTATAATTAGTTGAACAGAATCTAATAGCTGTTCCTTTCCTATCGGGCAATGTCGTTCTGCCATTGCAAACAACCATTCTTTTAATATGGCTTCCTCATTCATAGAAAGTATTGTAGGAGGACCCATATGACAGACAGCAGGACTCTTTCCCGTTACTTTATTCCTTAAGGTCATTCTCGGTACACCATATTTCTCAGCTGCAGCTGAATAACTGTCCCCTTTTCTAACAGCTTCCATTGCAAGGCACATTTGATGAGGCGTGTAGTTTTTCTTTGGTGCCATCGTTACCTTATGAAACAAAGAAATCAAATTTATAAAAAAATATCTATTTTGCAAAACAATACACCCTTTTTTTGGACAGTCGTGTATAAAGGATAAAAACTTAATTGTATAACAGCAAAAAAAAAATATATAATACTCCATTATAATGCAAACATTATGGTCTGTGATCCAGTCATGGTCACCCCAATAATGGTAACTATGACCATTACTGGACCGGTATGTTCAAACGAGGCGCTGATAAAATTTGAACTCGTTTCTGTGGATAAACATTCTACATTTTATGAAAAAAGCTAAAAACCCTATTGTGCCCATCATGGTCAATTTGACCATCATTGGAAATATCATAAATCGACGTTCCAGTAATGGTCAGTTCAGTTTAAGAAGTCTACAAAACAGAAATATGTGCATTTTTTGGTGTCATTCATCACACAGGTATGTTACCTTAAGTATCAAAACAAAGAAATATCTCAAAACCCTTATATAATTATAAAATAATAAACAGAAGTACTCACCAACCTTATCAAAAATAACACTAATTATATAAATTCACCACCGCATTCTGTTCAAGGGCCCGCCATGTTGCAAATGTCACGTGTCAAAATGACAAACGTCATTTTTTCACAAGCTGAGTATCTATGGTTTATCACTAAATGTTGCCATTTTCCCTACAACGTTTAGTTTTCTTATTTTGCCGTTTTTTTTCGAAATTGACCATCAATAGAACGCTTACCAAGACTGGTACAGTTACCTTATAAATTTGCTATTTCTGTTTCCAAATCTGCAACATTAGGTACTATGTTTTCATGCTGCTCTTGGGTCTCCATTATCGGGTCTGCCGAGTTCAATTTGATTTGTTTAGAACTGCAACAAAAAACACATATACTATGTAGTTTCTTACTAAATCTTACAAACATACATATTACAGAAAGGTATACCTTATTGGACAGTCTAAATTTATTTCACGTAGACATTTTCTCTTCATTGTATTTTTCTTAACTTCAGGGTTGGTACTGAACCTGGCATTAACCTAAAAAATTATTACTTTTTTATGGGTACATCTGCACATATTAGTATGGAAAACACATTCATGACATAAATATTATACCATCTAAATATTGACAACTTACCCCTGGTTATATAAATATTTATTTCGAAAACATTCTACTTCAAAATGATCTAAACAAACAACATAATTGTTGTAAAAATAATCACCATCCTTAATTTTCATCAAATTATCCAGGTCAGTTCTTTTACAAGCCATAAATTTCCTTTTAGATTGAAGCAATGGAAAATCCATTGCTTCAATCTAAAAGGAAATTTATTAATAAGTACAACAAACGAAATATTACAATCCTACTATCACATTTGTTTAACAAAATCACATACTAACTAACCTGTCCAAATCTTTGGGCATTCTATAGAATGATTTTGGCTCTTTTTGTTGTTTATAATTGTTGCAACCATATACAGCACAAATTGAGCCACGTTAAAAACTAGGTTTTGCAGACATCTTTTATTAATTACTTATGTAATTAGTAAAATAATACAAACAATGTTAACCGCGCGACTATTTACAAGGCTGTAAACTAAATTCAACTACTTATGCCACCAGAGGCGTTAGTGTGCATGATTGCCAAGTTTTGAACCGTATTATACCGTAGGTTTTCTATAGTATTCGATACTGCGTAGATTGGATCAAAAATAAATAATTTTAATCTGAAGGTAACCGTGGTTAACTATCACATAGGGAAATCAAACACCTCAGTCTCCCATAACCATGTGTGCTTGCTGTAAGGTGCTCGAATTGTTGCGTATATAAAATAAGCTAATACAAGCGATAAAATCCGTAAAAACTAGTTTCATTTAAAAAAAATCTACTCATATTTCTGAGAGTGTTTTTGGAGTAGGAAAAAGTCCGCATTGCTTCCCCAATGATTTCAAAGGTGCCCTAAATAATTTTTCACGGGTTTCACTCTAGCTCTCTAACTCTTCTCAGCCACGCTCCATTTATATTAGTAATATAGTTGTAGCACGAATGGGTCGGCTCGACCGGCGAGGAATCACGCTCTCACAGAATACCAGCGTGAAATAGTAGCTTGATGCTGCTGTGTATCGTATGGTGAGTGTAGAGAACCGGCGACCCATTTTACTGGAAACGAGGCATTCCATCTTAGACCTCACGGGTGACAACGCATCTGCATTTTGTTTCGTAATCGAGGATAGATGTAGATGTCTATGGGCCACAGCAACCACTTACCATCAGGTGGACTGTGTGCTCGTTTGTCAAAAAAAATCTCACGTTGTTTTAACTCTATTGACCAGCAGATGGAGAATGTATCTAAGTTGCAAATAACAGTTATTTCAGCTATGCCAGCGGGAAGACTACTTAGTGTGATTGTGAGTTTAGTATTTTTACTCTGTGCTATAGATATCTACAGCGGCGCTTGATATTTGCCCAATCGGAATTAAAAATATTTAGTATCATAACTGCTACGACTATCTCTATATTCTTTACTGGCAACCCGCCGTCCATTACAGCCTATAAAAGTCCATGGCTGAACATTATTCTCCTTCATAGATTGCCTCGTGGGGGGATTTTGCCATAGTTGCCACGCTTAGCAAGCGGCTTGTCAAACACAGTTTATTTTATTATTTTGAGTCGTTATCAGAGACCCTGCTGCGCATCATCTGTTTCATTTTCCCTCTGTCGCAACTTAGGACACCCTTCAGGACGATATAGGGTAGTGGATTTTTTTTTATAGGATAGGGTTGACAAACGAGCGCACAGTCCACCTGATGGTAAGTGGATACTGTGGCCCATGGACATCTATATTAAGCCTCGATTGAGAATCAAAACGCAGATGCGTTGTCACTCCTGAGGATTAAGATGGAATGCCTTATTTCCAGTAAAAAGAGTCACCGGATCTCTACTCATCATACGAAACATAGCTGCTACTTTTCGCTGGTATTGTGTCCTTCCCCGGTCGAGCCGACACATTCGTGCTACAATCATAATACAGCTGCAGCGTGGCTCTACCACGTATAAAACGGACATACTCACACCGGCACTACACGGCCTATTAAAGTGGCGTTATTTAAATTTAAGTTGGTCAAAGAGCGTTTGTTCTATTATTTTTTCGATTTCATAAAAATGTTTAATTTTTCGGATAAAATATTTAAAGTTACGTAGTAGAGACACGCTGCGGATGTATTACGGTTGTAGCACGAATGGGTCAGATCGACCGGGGAGGGACCACGCTCTCACAGAATACCAGCGTAAAATAGTAGCTTAATACTGCTGTGTTTCGTATGGTGAGTGTAGAGAACCGGAGACTCTTTTATACTGGAAACGAGCATTCCATCCTAGTTATCAGGGGTGACGGCACGTCTGCGTTTTGATTCTTAACCGATGATAAATGTAGATGTCTGTGGGCCACAGCGTCCGCTACCATCAGGTAGACTGTGTGCTCGTTTGTAACCCATATTCTATAAAAAAGCCTGGTTAACTTCTGACATTGCTCCCTATGCTATATTAGCATAGTTTTATCACAATTTCTTCAACTACTCCGAGAATTAGCCCGGACGGACAGAGACTCAGCTTTTTTTTAATGATGTTAAAAATGAACTAACGTCCGTAATCTGCATAATAAAATATCACATCATTTTATTTCATTACGCAGGTCTTAGCTTAATTTCCGCAAAGTAACGCCTGATTCTATTAATTGAACAAAAACATTTTATTAAATAATTCATGTCTTAATGGCACACGACTAACACCCTGAAAGGCATTTATTTTGATATAATAGATGGATACTTTGATTTTATTTATATGTACGGTTATTTTATTCATTTATTTAGTGTAGCTCATTACTAAATGTGTTGGCGACGCGCCTATAAGAATATTTCAGTTTATTAAGTCAACCGATGACGAATAACTTCTCAAAGGCATATTGTCCAATACCAAGGTTCTGATAAGAAAATGCTTAGTTAAATCTTGAAGAAATGTCGAATTAATGATATGAAGGTCTTGGGTTCGACTCCCAGGCCGGACTAGTTTATTGTTTTCCTAAGTAATATCGCTTAATAAATTCATAAGGAATTTAAGATATAAATTATGTTACCGGATTGGTTCCCCGGTTGAAATCATCTTTCCAATGATGTAAATTCAAAGGAATATTTAAATAAAGTTAAAGATCGGATTTGTTCCCCGGTCGAGATGATCACTCTGTGCATAAATAGAATTAACGGAAATTAATCGCATAAGTATTGTCTTATATAAGTTTGATATGTTTTGTACGAAAACAAATGCCTATTTATCATGATTGATTTATGAGAACATTCACTTATATTGTTTGATAAGAAACATGATAACTGATAAGAATCTGATTAGAGATAGTTTCCTACAGTTCGAAAATTGTGTAAAAGCATTTTATTCACCCAATATTGTTAAAATTGGTGTATATCAGACTTTCATTTTTTCGGATAGCCGAGAGCCGTGCAAAAGTTAGTTGTTCAAATAGTGTGAGTTCACGGAAGCACGCTGGCCACGCCCTTAGGAGGCCGAATATGTAAAAATTTAAAATGTTTGTAATTTAGCAATTTATGTAAAAATGACTTATAAAACATTTCAGGTTGATTGTACGTGCTAAAAAGGTGAATTCTGTGTTATTTTTATGTGAAAATTCCTGTGTATAAGTGAAATAATGATGGTTTTGTATAAGAAATTCAAAAGTGTTTTAAATAGTGAAATAAATAGAGAAAATGTAAATTAAACTATTGTATTAGTTAACTCATGTATAATTTCAAGTGGAAAACATTGTTTTAACTTTCTGTGTTAAATATTTAAGAAATTTCGACTTCGAACTTGTGAGTAAAATAGGCATATTTCATTTAATAAATAAAAGGTTTTTCGTGATATGAAAATGTAATGTATATCGTAGTGTAGATATTGTTTTGTGCTATCTATACAGATAAATTGTATGATGTAAGACTTATGCAAA